TTGATGAAGAGGTTTTTTTAATGTTGCTTTTGCATCATGCCACTTTGCTGAATCTTTTAAGTAGTTACAGCAGTTTTCTTGCTGAATCTTTTGGTTTTTCTAAGTGTGCGATATCATTTGCAAATAGAGACAGTTTAGTTCTTTGCCACTTTGGATGCCTTTATTTCTCTTTCTTTCCTCATTGCCCTGACTAGGATGTCCAATACAATGTTGAATAGAAGTGGTGATGGAGGGCATCATGTCTGTTTTCCATTCACAGGGGGAATGTTTTCAGTCCCTCTCTGTTGAATATAATGTTGGCTGTTGGTTTTGCAAATATACTCTTTATCATGTTGAGGAGTTTCCCTTCTGTTCCTATTTTACTGAGAGTTTTTATCAGGAATGAGTGTTGGATTTTATCAAATGTGTTTTTCTGCATGGATTGATATGATCACGTGGTTCTTTCCTTTTATTTATAAAATGGATTACCTTGATTATTTTTTCTAATATTGAAACATTCTTGCATACCTGGTATGAATCTCACTAGGTCATGATGTGAGTCCAGATAAGAAAATCATATAAACCCTGGATTTCAGCTCACTCAACAAAAGAAGGAAGAGGTAGAATGTCTCTCTATACTCTGACAATCTCTGAAGACTGAAGCCCTGACAGAAACAAGGACTGGGACCTCAGGTAAGAAGAGACCTCTGCTGAGGATTAGCCATTGGTCAATGGCTACCTGTTAAAGGTAAATACCCAAAGATTACCTGTTAAAAGTAAATACCTGAAGTCTAAGGAGTTGGACTCTAACTATTGTGCTTACCTTATGTTGTCCTGATTCTTTTGTCCTAAATGAGTATCTTGTGGTCTTACCTGTGTGCCTTGTCATGGATACCTTATAATAAACTAAACTTGATAAACTTGAGCGTTTCTTTCTTTACTTTGGAATAAAATCCAAGATGACAGAATAGTTCAAGACATTTTCTTTTCATACCATGTTTAAGAACAAAAACTTTAAAATTTATTCTCAACTAACGTGAAAACCTGTGTGTCTAGAAAGTGTTTCACAAAGAAAACTCCATTAATTAAATTTAGTATCTTTATCAATTTTCTGCTCACGATATTTAACTCAATTTCTTCCATCTTTACTCTAGTGGACTGACATTGTATGGATCAAGGTGTCAGTGATGTTTTTACCAAAAAAAAACCCAAAATCAAACTCACACCGTCAGGTCAGTCCCAGACTCATAGCGACTCCTCCTTGGTTTTCCGAGGTGGTAACTCTACAGAAATAGTTTGCCCAACCTTCCTTCCAAGGAATGGCTGGTGGGTTTGAACAACAAGTCTTCTGGTTAGTAGTCAAATGCCTTAGGCACTAGCCACCAATTTGCAAATGCATTGTTAGCTTTATCCATCCTTGATTTGTTTTTCTATTAAGTTTATTTTTCCTAAGTTTTCAATGTAACCAATACAATTTGATTTTCCTGTAGGTGTTTTAACTAAAAAATGTCACGTGTGCCATTTCAGCCATTGTCAATATTATTATGCTTACTATTTCTTCTAGTAACCTTTTCATGAATTGAATAACAGATGAGTAACTTATGTTTATATCTGGAAGTAAAAAGTAAAGATAATTAATGGACAAACGTGGATCTGGGTACTTGGTTGGTTCAAAATAATAGAATTAAAACATTCTTTATGACAAGGTTTTTCATAGGATCAGAAATCTTTTTGTGTGTGTGTGTGTGTGTAAATGTAACAGGCTTGTGGTGTTTTATTTTCTTTTTTATCTCCATTTTGTTTTTCCTTCAATTTACTAAAAAGTTTTTCTCATATATTCTAAGAAGATTGTCCATCTAATGATTTTCCTTATTGAGCTCTATGCTATTAAATTTCTGAAAGTTGCATTTTGTTTATAATAATGATTATACATTTTGTTTATAATAATGATTTTACACTTTCCTACTGTACTTTTCGAATTTCACAGTTGAAGTTCAGAAGAGCAAAGATAACATTAGTTTTATTTTCTAAATTCATCCCAGACATCCCAAATGAAAAAACTTTTTGATTACTCATTTCTATTTTCCTTGTCAAAAAACCATTTCTTAAAAAAGTAGATTTTTAAAACAATGATGAGTTAAGACAGGGGTGGGGTGGGATTCTAGAATTTTGGTAAGCAAGAGAATCCAAACTTCCTTTGTGAAAGGGTATTTGCTATTGGGAGTACACAAAGTAAAACATCGGTGGACTGGAGAAAAGAAAGAGCAGATCTTCACCACAGGCCTGTGAGCTACTCTACTCTGCACATGTCTTACTATGTGAATTGTGGTTGGTGTGGGGCTTCAACCAACAAATAAAGGTTTCAGAAAAGAGCACACGCTAAACACACTGCTGTGGAGTCGGATCCCACTCATGGCGGCCCCTCATTGGGTTTCTGAGGCTTTATCACTTCAGATGTAGATTGCCCAACCGTCCTTCCCAGGTATGGCTGGAGGGTTTGAACCATCAGCCTTCTGATTAGCAGTTAAATGCCTTAGGCACTACTCCACTAGAGCTCCCTCAGAAGAGAGCAGGGCCTATAATAAGGTGTTCAGGAGGTGCTGGACATCACTTTTTAAACCAAAAAAACCCTAACTCATTGCTGGGTGCAGTGCAGATAGCAGGAACTCTGGTAGCCATAATGGTTAAAGTATTTGGCTGCTCACCAAATGGTTGGGTATTCCACCCCACCAACAACTCCAAGGCAGAAAGATGAGGCTGTCTGCTTCTTTAAAGATTTACAGCCGTGGAAACTCTGGCAGTTCTGCTCTGTTCTGTAGAGTTGGAATTGACTTGATGGTGGTGTTTTTTTTTTTTTTTTTTTCTTTTTTGCAGATAGAAGACAACAATCCCTGTCCTTAAGGGGCTCATTCTGGTCAAAGTGACTAACAAGCAATAATTACATTGGTGTTTATTAAGGGCTGAGATAGGGGTCAGCCCAAGCTGCTCCCTCCAAAAGCACATAGCCTACAGCAGAAGTCCTCAAACTTTTTGGTTGTTGTTATGTTGTTTTGGTTGTTATTGTTATGTGCCTTAAATGTGCGGTAGCGATTGTGTCTCATAGCAACCCTGTAGGACAGATTAGAACTGCCCCATAGGATGTTCTAGGCTGTAATGTTTATAGGAGCAGATCACTAGATCTTTGCTCTGGCAGAGCAGCTGGTAGATTGAACCTCCAACCACTCTGTTAACAGCCCAGCACTTAACCGTTTGCCATGAAGGCTCCTAAGGACCTCTTTATACTTTTTAAAATTACTGAGGGACACCAAAGAACTTGTTTATATGGGTTATATTCACTGATATTTAAAACCCAAACCAAAGCCAAAACCAAAACATTTGCAGTGGATTGACTCAGAAAGATTCCATAGGGTTTTCTTGGCTGCAATCTTTACAGATCGCTAGGTGGCCTTTTGTGGTGCCACTGTTGTTGTTGTTATATGCTGTCGAGTCGGACCCGACTCATAGTGACCCCTCCTTGGGTTTCCGAGGCAGTATCACTACAGAAGTAGATTGCCCTATATTCCTTCTGAAGAGTGGCTGGTGGGTTTGAACTGCCAGCCTTCTGATTAGCAGTCAAGTGCCTTAGGCACTATGCTACCAGAGCTCCATTGTGGTGCCACTAGAAGGGTTTGAATGGCCCAAATTTAGGTTAGTAGCTCAGGGCAAATTGTTTACGCCAGCTTTACCTTCTTAAAAGTTAAACCTAAGAAATTTTAAAGATATTTATTTAAAAATAACAATAAAATCCACTACTTATTACCATAAATAACATATTTATTTTGAAAAAAATATATTTTGAACAAAGTTTAATGGAAAGATGGGATTATTTTAAACTTTGCTGTTATTGTTATGTGTGCTCAAGTCCAACCAACTCACAGCAACCCCTCCTTGAGTTTCCGAGGGGGATCACTACCAAAGCAGATTGACCAACCTTCCTTCTGAAGAGTGGCTGCTGGGTTTGAACCCTCCAGCCTTCTGGTTAGCAGTCAAGTGCCTTGTTGTTGTTGTTGTTATTTGCTTAAGGTACTAGCAAATTTAATGTCCAGTTTAATAGATAGCTGGATTCTCGTATCTATTTCTGTATTTAATTGTTTACTTTAGAAGAAATACAACCAGAATGCTCTTTGGAAGTGAGGGTGGTTAGACTTTTGCTCTTTACTTTGAGCACATAATCAGGAAAGACCAATCACTAGAATAGGACATCATGTTTGGTAGAGGACCAGTAAAAATGCAGGGAACCTTCACTGAGATGAATGGCACAATGGTCACAATAATGGACTCAAACATACCATTAATCACAGAGATGACACAGAATCTGGCAATATTTGGTTCTGTTTATACATAAGGTCGTCATGAGTAGGTGCTGACTCCACAAACAACTAACATGTTTTTTGGATTAAAGATATGAAGAAAATTTGGCCTCACGTATGAAACTGGCAGAGGAATTGAGGATCCTTTGAAAGGTCTTGGGGAGCCCTCCAGGGTATTCTCGGACCACACTCCTGAGAACGTCTTAGATTCTGGATACCAGGAATAGTTCCCGGAGGAGACAGCCTGAGTTCTGAAATAGACCATCTATTTGGGAGTATGGTGACCGCGGTAGGGGCTAATGGCGAGGCTGCTGTGCAGAGCCAACAGGGACGCCTGTCTACTATTCTTGAAGGCACACTCAATTAATAATTAATAGAAAGTACGTTGGAGGGGTGGGAGAGCAGCTTTGCCCATCAATACTGCATTCAAAAAGCGATCATCTATTGCCTAATCCCAGGTCCGCCCACTACGTGAAAGCGGGAGGTTGTAGCCTTTGCCGCGTCCACAGATAACAGGGAGGGGCGCGGAAGCACACTGGAGGTTGGAGAAATGGACTACGCGAAGGCGCGGCGCGGGAGGCACCACATCGCGCAGGCGCAGCGGCAGCTCAGGCTCCGGCCCCCGGAACGGTAAACAGTGAGGTCACGTGACGCGGGCACGCTCCAGCCCCCGCCGCACGCCGATGGCTGCGGGGTCTCACGCCGCCCGGTCCCCACGAGGCGAGCGACCCTCGGGCCCTGGGCAGCGGCGGCTGCAACGAGGACAAGGAGGGTGGCGCGGAAGCTAGGAATAGTGTCGTCAGCAGCAACCACTCGGTCCCGGGAGAAAAAGGGGCTGTGGCAGCGACGCCGACGTCCTGCGCGTACCCCCTCTCCGCGGCACCCACCGGGCCCCCTCCTCCTTCTCCGCGGCGGTGGCTGCACGGCCACCATCTTCCTCCTGCTGCCAGTGGTAGCGCTCGTCTGGCGGAGCTGGGTGAGTTGCGGCTCTGGCCGCGGCCAGGGAGACCAGCAATCCTCCCCTCCCCCAATCACTTCCATACGCACCGCGCCTCCGCGGGCCTCCCCGCCCCTTCCCCGGCGGACACTCTGCTTCTTTCTCCCAGGCAGCGGGGAAATCGCATCTCGGGCCTCTTGCGCAACGTCCTTGGCCTTCCCGTGCCGCGCCTCTGCTGCTGGCGGGGAACGTTTAGATCGCGGGGTGGGGAGGGAATGGAGGCGGTGCGGTCGTCAGGAGGAGAGGCCGGCCTGGGGCCTCTCCCGGGCCTCTGCTCCCGGGCCCTCGGGGGCGAGTGTGCTCCGCTGCCGCCGCGCGGGCGCGCAGGCCCGGAGGCCCGGCGTGTGCTTTTTGGGAGGGCCGGGCCGCAGCTTTCCTGACCCGTCTCTTTGGACCTATTACGTCTCGGAGGGCTCAGATATCGAGCTTTGGGTCCAGGGTTCGGAAAGCTGGGACTGGATTTGGTCGCTGGGCTGAGCCCTGCCCCCGCTTCTGGAGGGGGGAAGTTGGCGCTCCATCCATCCTTCTGCCACCGCGCGCTTTTGTGCTCGATGCCTAAACTGTCGACACCTTTTGCTTAGTTTGAAATGAGAGTCATAGAATCTTGCTTTCCGAGAATGTGTGTAATTTAATGAACCACTTGTCGATACGTGTTTGGAAATAATGCTAAATAACTGATCAGCTCATTTGGGGGGTGGGGAGAAGGGAGAAAGGAAGAGAATGTTGGTACCGCGTACAGCCAGCCCACCATCCCTTCTTTCCCCAGCAGTGTTTTGCCTGGGTAGATGACCTTTTCCACATCTTTGAGTTTTTAATACCGTTTTTCAAGCCTTTTCAAGGTAATTTTAATACGCGATTGTTGGTGCTATTGAAGAATCATTCGTAGACTATGATCATAGATAGTCACTAATGTAAGGGGCAACAACGTTTTAATTTCTACATAGTTCTCGTTTTCATTACATGTAATTTAAAAAAAAAACACGTCGATCATGGAGTCAGTCATCCCCGAATTAGAACTTTACTGCCTGTTTTAAGCTAAAATAATGATACATAAATAAGACAGTAAAGTGGTACATTGTTCTACTTAGTTACTGTTTTGTAGTTTAACTTGTCTTCTTTTTTCCAAACTGGTTGGTTGAGATACTGCCAAACTGTGCCTTCCTTGATACTCATTTTCTGTCATTTTTTGATTCTTGAGTAAAGTGTTTAATATTGTCAAAATGTAGATGTGTGTTTGTGTTAGGGAAGAGAGATGTGAGTCAGAGAACCAGGAAATCTTTGGTACATACTTCTGTTTTTGTGTTTAATCTTTATTACAGAGTACAAAAGGTGTTGCGTGAAGATTGTTATTTCAAATTGTTTTTAATATTTGCTACCACTTAGACCATTTATTATTATTTTTCTTCTTATTCCTTTTACTTCCATAATGATGGACCTTCCCTCCATCATCACCATCATCATTATTAATTTCACGTATGTACTCCATTTTCTGATGATAGTAACCGAATTTAAGAAGGGCCTTTTGGGAGCTATTAGTACTCTAAGCCAGACACGGTTCCTTAGCAGCAGAAAGATTTGTAATCAACTCAAGTGAAGACATTTTTTAAGTATGTAGAATCACAACTTTGTATTTTAAGCTTTACTTGATAATCATTCCAGTGAGTTCTCAAAAGGATAATAGGTGAGTTAGAGAGGGACCAAACTTTTCCCTTGTGCTTTGCATACTTTATAGGTCCATTTATTGAAGAGCGTAAAAATGTAACTTCTTAATACTGTTTTTGCATCCTGTTTTGAGAAAGTAATGAACATCCTTATCCGTCATGCTGAGTTTAGTTATTCATTGTGTGCTGTTGGGACAAAACTCAGTAACTTTGCTATGTTGATCCTTTGGTATACTCATTTGCATATTTATATAGATTAAATGTAAGAGAAACAATCAGACTATGTAAATGTAAGTGAGGAATAAGTTACATCAAATGCAAATTGAGAGTAAAAAATGTAAAGGAAATAGTTTTCATAATTTAAAATCATTATTACTATTTAAATGGTATTGAATATTGGAATTAGCTAGGAAAGGTTGGTAATCTTTTTGTCTTATGCAATATCTTATCAATAAACTGTATTATTGATAAAAGTAACAGTAAGTGATAGTGATGGTCATAGTAAGTGACCATTTGGATTACTGCAATTTTTTTTCCTTTAGACTATATATATCCCACACATTGTTGTTGTTATTTGCCATCCAGTCGGGCCCGACTCATAGCTACCCCTCCTTGGGTTTCCGAGGCAGTTATCACTACGGAAGTAGGAAAGCCCAACCTTCCTTCGGAGGAGTGGCTGGTCGGTTTGAACCGCCAGCCTTCTGGTTAGCAGTCAAGTGCCTTAGGCACTATGCTACCAGAGTGCCTTTATTACCCTTACTTTGTAGTCCCCTTTCTGCCTTGATAGGCAGTCCAAATCTTCTGTTCAGCTTTGATTTTAGCTTTTTTTTGGAAGACTGAATAGCTAAATCCTTTTCAGCATCCTTCTTAGAATCTTTCAGCTTATGCACATTCAGTGATTCTGTGAGCACCTAAGTTACTGCCATAAGTAATAAGCCTAATAACCTAAGGATGTAATATGAATGTATTTTGATATCTAATTATGTACCTTAAAATGTAGGTAAGTATCCTAAAAGTAGTTAGTGAACTTATCTTTTGGTTGCCATAAGAGTTTAGATGTGGGACATACTTAAAAGTGCTAAATGTGAATTATGCATACAGTCCTTTTTTGGGGGGGTGGGCATTGAAACAGGTAATAATTCTAAAGGGTAATTGGGGGTTTGCCTTTCAGATATATTTTGTTCTCGTAAATATGCAGTTTTTTCCCCCTTTGCACAGATTAAGTTCTGTTTTAATTTCTCGTGAAATTCTTTGATTATTTTTTTCTGCAGGTAAGATTTTTTTTCTATTTTTTAATGAGATGAGATTTTATTGATTAGCATCTCAGGTTTGTGGATTGCCTGTAACTACTTTACCACATGGTGTCAGGTGAATTTAGGATTCTTACAATGTTGATTTCTATATGTTTTCATTAATTCACATTTAGGGCATTCTCTGACAAGTGGCTGAATTTCTTTGCCTTCTGCAACAGTGTACTTGGGCTCTATTTCTCTCTTACTTGGCACATTCTCTGAGGGACCTGGAATGCCTTCTCAGAAGCATGGACATTTTTATTTTTTAACTACAAAAATTATTTGATGAACTTTTACACATTTATGATACTGTTGCATTTTTAAAAACAGCAAAAATCATTCTCCAATAATAGTTGCCCTTTGATTACAAATAGAAAAGTGTTGAGAGTATGGATTTGACTCAAAGATATTTGAGAGTCAGGTGCTGTTCCTGTTTTCAAGGAACCATAGTCTATATTAGGAAACAAGATTCATAGACATGAGATGTTAAATCAGTATATTAGCATTAAAATGGGAAGGTATTTCAAGAGTCAGAAGAGGCTGTATATGAAGAATTGAATTGCCAAAAGTATGTTGTTAGATGCTGTCAAGTCAGATCTGACTCACAGGAACCTTATGTACAACAGAACAAAACACTGCCCAGTTGTGCACCAACCTCACAATCCTTGCTATACTTGAGCCCATTGTTGCAGCCACTTTGTCAGTTCATTCATTGACGGTTTTCCCCTTTTTCACTGACCTTCCACATTACCAAGCATGATACCCTTCTCCAGGGAATGGCCCCTTCTGACGACAGTTATTGTAATGTGTTGTGTGTTTAATTTAGACCTTTTTTTTAAAAGACCAGAGGATTGAAAGTTTTATGACCATTGTACAATGAAGAGGAGATTAAGAGAAATAAAGCTGTTGAATAGTGTAAGAATTTCAAATAATATCAAATATCCAGAAGTTTTAATCTGTTGATGTAGTCTAACTGTATTAGATTAAGTTTTGAATGTTGCAATAGATTGTGCAGAAGGTCTAAGTAGTTTTAATTCACTCATAATTTGTGTGAGCTGGCCACATGAAAACAGTCTAAAAATTGCAGACTGAAAATAATTACAGAGTTTGTAGTTGATAACGTGCCTTTCCTTTAAATAATTTTGTTGTTCATACATATTGAGGATAGCCCCTCCCCGTGTGTGTGTATGTATGTGTACAAGTGGCTAAATGCATATTTCCTGCTTTATTTTGGAAGAAAAATCACTTTTGTTTCCAAATTTTTTTTGGCATTCGTAAGTGATATATTAAGACAATAAATATGTGTTATACAAGTAGAGTGGATAATGTATGGTAGTTTAAAAAGTTCAAGTTTAGGAACCACACTGCCTATGTCCAAATATGCTCTGTGGTAAACTGGATGTGTGACCTTGAGCAAATTAATCGATCATCTGGGCCTTAGTTTGCTCATCTGTAAACAGAAATAATAATTGCACCTACCTCACAGGGCTGTTAGGAGGAACTAATGAGATAATGCATATGGTGTACTTAGTATAGGTCCTGGCACATGGTTGTGCTCAGTACATGTTACTTCCCATTGCTATTACCTATGCCATAGTTTTAATGAGGTAGTTCTGTGATTTAATCCAAACTTCTGATGCTTCCCTAATGTTGATAGATTTTAGCTGTAAGCTTTGAAGTTAATGATTTCTAACAGTAGTTTACTAGTGTAACTCTGCTTTTGCCAGTTTCAGCTTGTGTGTTATAGTCCTTTTTCTAGTTTCTTAAATCTGCTGTGGTCTGTCTTATTAACCTTCATACAGCAGACACCTTAGTATTATATATTTTATTTACCTGATAAATTCAGAAAAGAAGTTATGTTTTTTGCTTTCTTTTATAAAGTCCTGTCAGTAGATTCTCACTAATGAAATAGGACTAGAATTTGAGTTGTGTGCGTAGAGCAGGTGGTTGACTTGGTTGCATTACTTTGTAAAATTTATTTTTTAGAATCATGTCAATTAGTGGTTGATGACATACGGAACTGGAT